TACGGCTGAGTTGGAGTTAGAAGGGGACCTTCAGACCAAGTTGCCTAAGAATGGTTGTCGGGGAGAATCTCCACAAGTCTGGTGGGTTGACATCAGGAAAAGAGACAAACGTCCAGGTCGACACCCCGCTTTGTTCTGTGTCCGCTGGCTTTGTCAGAATTATCGCCTCTGGTGGATTCATGTACGGGCTGGAGAGCCCGAAAAGCCAGCCAGATTTCACGCAAAAGCAGCCATCTGTCCCCCTTCGAGTTTCCTTCTGGACAACTTCGCCAAGAGTGATTTCAGCCAGTTGTATGCAGATGTATGTGAGTTTATAGCGAAGGACGGCCAGTCTTTCGATGATTGCTACACCATCTCGACGCGCCTCGCAGACGCGCTGAAGATGGCCTCGCTCGCTGCCAAGAACGATGCTGACCGTACGTGGAAGGAGTGGCTTCTGAAGGACATCGACCAAGGGGCTCGCACGGCCCACGTTTGGTCGAAGCCTGTCGAAGCCTGGGCTCCGTCCTCGACGCTGTCAGCATCGGGTCAGGTTCTATCAGACCCATTGTCGTTACTCAAGGCGGAAGGGCTCAGGTTCAAAGGCCTGTGGCTGGCTACTGAAGGAGCGGAATCCATCGACTACAACCAGTGCCAGGATTTCCAGCCTATGCCTGCCTTGCCAAGAGTTTCTGTTGACACGATTCGTTTGGCAAGCCGCTCATACAATAGTCGATCTGCAGTCAGTGTTGATGGTTTTCACATGAGGCACTTTCGGCTTCTTTGCAACGAATCGCTCGAAGTCCTATCCTACATCTTCGGTATCATTGAGATGATGTCGACCCTTCCCATCCAGATTCGTTTAGTGATGCTGGCTATGCTTCCAAAGCCGATGGGCGGCCTGCGCCCGGTCGGGATCTTCACGTCCACTTACCGCTTGTGGGGGAAGATCAGGAGGGAGGTTGCAGTGGAATGGGAGGAGGCTCACTCGGCAAGTTTTTTTCTCAGGTAGTGGGTTTAAGAGTGCCACGGCTGTTGTCTGGCGCCAAGCTGCTCGTGCAGAAGGGTCCACACGAACAGGGGGATATGCTGCGACAGTCTTATGGGACATGTATAAGTTTTATGAGTTGATGGACCTTGGGGATCTTGAGGCTCGGTGTCTTAAATTGGGTTTCTCGCGCGCAGTCATCAAGGTTTCGTTGGCTGCTTACAAATCGGCTCGTTTCATTACCATCACTGGGTTCCTGGCTGGGCCTTTCCTGGCATTCAGGGGTGTTATTGCAGGCTGCAGTCTAGCTACAACTTATGTGCGTATCTTTTACATGGATACGTTTTTGCAGGTCTCTGTGGGGCCCACCACTAGCATCGACCTCTTCATAGATGACATAGGGATTTCTAGTACTGGCACTTTCAAGCAGGTCTTGGCTGATTTGAAGTCGGCTACGGCAGCTGTTTATGTGGCGGTCACGGAGGATTTGAAGTCTGTTATCTCCCCCGACAAGGCCAACCTTGTTGCCAGTGACGCCACTCTCGGGAAGTTGTTGGCCGAGTGGCTTGGGGCCTTGTCGGGGCTCAGCGCGAACCACTCTACTGCTGTCAACTTGGGGATTGATGACACGGCTGGGAAAGGTAGCAGGGTGCGAGGGAGAGCGGTTAAGCGGAAGCAGAGAGAGAGAGGTTTTCGGAGGAAGGTGGAGCGCATCAAGAGACAGAGGCATATCCTTGGCCGATCTGCGCGACAGATTTTCTGTAGTGGGCCACTGCCAGGGATGTGCTACGGAGCTGAAGTGCACGGTCTAAGTAACACCGAGTTAGGTCGTATCAGGCAGCAGGCTGGCAAGTGTCTACGGCCGTCTTGTGGCGGACGATATTTGTCTGCTGCGCTTGTGTTTGAGGATGAGCCTTGCTGGTATGGGATGGTTGCACCGATCGCGAGGTGGAGCAAGGAGGTCTGGGCAGCGCAGACAAGGCAGAGCTGTGCCGTCTTTGGTCTGCCGTTTTCGAGTCCGCCACCCTTCCCATCACATGGAGACACGTTCGCGGACCCATCAGTGCGTTGTACATGTCTGTAAAGAGGATAGGGTGGCGAATGCGGGACTTCGCCACGCTGCGGGATCATCGTGGCACTGCTGTTTCGCTCACTTACGTCAGTCCTACTTTACTCAAGGATATTTTTTGCGAAGGGCGGTCGTTAGGGACCTTGAGAGGTCCATTGCTGTCAAGCTGGAGGTGCCCTGGGACCGCGTGTGCTTTGATATTGTCACATCTGAAACCCGCAAAAAACGCTACACGCCCATGGAAAAAAAGGAGCTATTTGTAATCTGGCCTGTGGGGGCTGCTGGACAGCGTCACGGGCTCATGCCCTTGGATACCAGTTAGACGACGAACAGCTGCTCTGCCCTCTCTGTCAGCAGGCTGTTGACACCCCGCATCATAGGCTTTGGACTTGTGAGGCCGTGAGGGACGAGAGGGAGGAGTTGGTGAAAGAGGATATCATCAAGACGGCGTGTGGGGAGCTCACGAAGGATGAGGAACTTTTATACACGCGAGGCATCTTCGAGCATCCAGAAGGGCATTGGCCTCAGCCTAGGGAGTTCGGCGGTGTGGAAATCAAATCGTATCGGGACGACCGCGATTTCGATGGCGGAGTGATCGGGGGCCGAATTTTCGTAGATGGGAGTTTGTTCGGGCATCCGATACCAGAACTTTCGAGGGCTGGATGGGGAGTGGTCCAGGTCTCGGCTGATGGCCAACCCGAATGCACGCTGCATGGGCCTGCGTGGGCGCCGATCGCTCAGTCGGCCCCTGCGGCCGAGTTTACAGCTCTAGCACAGGCTTCCCTGCAGCTGGGGACTCCGAGTGACTGTTATACTGACTGCCAGGCGGTAGTCTCGCATTTTAACTTGCCCGCGGCGGCACGACTGTCGCACAAGCGCAAGTACGCTGGCCATTTCTTGTACATTAACCAGTGCTGCCACATCTCTGCCTTAACCAAGGTTAGGGCTCATTTAGACCCCGACGAGCCAGAGCTTGACGGGAGTGAGCGTTTTCGCCGTCGGGGAAATGGCCACGCTGACGCCGTCGCAAAGATGGGCGCGCAGGCGCATCCTCGACCCTCTGAGGCCGAGGAAAATCGTGTTCAGAGTTGCATTGCTGTTGCCCGCGCTGCGTGCCGCTTGGCCGCGAAGCTTCTGCCACAGTGGCCAAAGCTGAAGTTGGACGGAGTCGAGCTGCGTGCCGGGCATCCTGAGAAACCCCTGGGGCTGCCTGTCCAGGGACACGTGTGGCAGCATTGTAGTGGCATGTGGCGTTGCACGGTCTGTCGCAAAGGGCCCAGGTCCGCGGCAAAACCTGGCCCTGGCAAGTGTGTAGGCTCGGCGCAACCAGATTTGGATGCGGCCGAGAGCAATGCGCATGTGCCTGCTCTATTTCATGTTTCCGATGGCTCTGACTGTTTCCTTTGTGTGAAGTGCGGAGCCTTCCTGCACCACGGAGTGCTTGCCAAAAGCAATTTGGCGAACCGTTGCCCAGGTCAGTTCAACAGGC